CGCGACCCAACACCGCCTCACACCACAACATGTATGGTAGGTAACTTAACGGTCATATGAATTCGTTTTTTTTTTGTATCGGGTCAAGTCTTACAAAGATTATTATAGTTGGCACCGCAGGCGCCCCTTTACGCCCCTATGGCGACGCCCTCTTATGCCCATCGCCCTGGGCGGTTATCCAGCCCTGGCCCTACCCTAATGCCTCTACTGATCGACAGGTTACACAAATCACATGGCGGAGTCAACAAGTTCGGAAGCTTCAAGTCACGTACAGGACCGCACTGACTTGTTGGTGCCGAGACCAAAGTCACGCGCGAGGAGTATGCATGTATGTTAAACTTTGTCTGTTAAAAAAAATCTTATTAGTCAAAAAGAACCATAAAGTGGTTTTAGTGGTTGCTTTTTTTAAGAAAAAACTTCAAAATTTTTTTGAAAATTTTTTTTAGTTAGCTATGTGTCTTTTTTTGTAAAAAAAAAGGTCTGCAAGTTCACACGACGTGAAAAATTAAAAAAATATATTTTTTTTCAGAATCAAAACGGTATATACTACGATGTAGAGTATGAAAACAATCCTGAACCTATATACGGCAGTAAGGGAATCCCGCTCTCCACCTACACGGTCAGTAGGGGTCCGCCTTTTTATAGGACATAGTCATTTTTATGTCATGTCATGTCACTCGTAATGTGGATTGACACTGATTTTTTTTGTTAAGTAACTTTTTGCAAAAATATTAGAAAGACGACATTTTTTGTAAATGTGAAATCCCATAGTTTTTAGATACAAAAATGATTATGAAAAAAAAATCCCAATCAAACAGTTTGATAGCATAATTGAGATTTATTTTAGATTTTTTTTTACTAAAATTGTGTCGAGTAAAATTATTATATAAAATGTTTTTTATTGCTGAAACTTATATAGATTTTTTAATCTATTTTTTTTTTTGTAAATTGTTCAAATCTTCAAATTAAGTAAAAAAGCTTTGAAAAAAAAAATTATGTTTTTTTTTTTCATAAAAAAACGAAAGCTATAACCACGAAATACATAATTAGCTAAAATATATCATGAATTAAAAAAAAACATAATAAATATAGTTATAATAGTTGTTAAAATGTAAATAAAATAGAATAGTGTTTTATTAACGAATAAAAAAAATCGAAATAACGAAGAGCACTTAAAGTGATTATTAAAAAATGTATTTATAGACTGAAGATAATTTTTTTATAATAAGTAAATATTGTAATTATAAATATTTTGTGCTTACAATGGCACTTTTCTTTAAAGCAACTTTGCTTCGATATATTTGCTTTCCATATAAAAATGTAAAGGTGCGTTTCCACTGCCGAATTTTTTTTTTACAAAAATATGTCAAAACTCTTTGAAAAATAGAGATAAATTTTTATATGTATTACGACAGTCGAAATTAGTGAGACCCTACCTTAAGATTTTTTATGTTAAAGTAGGGTCTCAGTAATTTATGTCAGAATTTCTCGACAAGAATGATGAATAGCTAACAAATATCCAAGAGGGTAACTATTTAAAAAAAAACTCTTAATATTAAGGAATAAAAGTCATGGTTAGGACAACACGAACTGCATTTATTTTGTACATTTTAACCGATATTTATTAGGAATTTATTCTTGTGTCGTTCATAGATATATAACCTAAAGATACATATTCCGGAGCATAAAAATGAGGCGAAACCCTCCGGGGGCTTTTTTGGGGGCAAATTAGTGTTGTCATTTACAATACAAAATGACATACTCTGTCTATAGGTTTTATATCTATGGTCATATTTTTATATTGTTGTAGAAATAAAATATTATATACTACAAATAATCTTTTATTTACTCCACTTGAAGGAATTAAAAACAACTAGCATGCCACCCGCGACTCCGTCCGCTTGGTATTAAAAAAAACCTATGTTCTACACCTACGCCAAATTATTTCGAGGTGCACCCGTTCTAGAGATACGTTCATACATCCATCCATCCACATAAACATTCGTATTTATAATATTAGTAAGAATTAAAAAATAAAACATCAAAATAGTTTTTTCAAGCTTTATTTTCTTACTTTATTCAATAAGTACAATTATAAATATAAATGCAAGATTGGACTTTGAACTTAACAACTAAGCAATAATTTAACTATTACAGAATTAATTATATTCAGTCAATATTTTAAATATGTCATGCTGTCATTTGATCTGTAATTTCTACCAAAAACTACCGTATTATATTTTTAATAATAATAGCAACAGCAGCAATAAATAATGCCCTTAATACAAACTATTATAAAATTAAACACAATTATGATGTTTGACTATTATTAAGGCCTAACTTATTAAAACAATCATCAAGAATATGAAAAGACAAACAATTGGAGAGCAGATTTGTGACTGTCATTTATGACATGACATATTACCCAATTACAGTCAAAGATATCTGAACCTGTGAGGGGCGCTGCTATCGCGGTTGGTCTATCAGAATATATATATATATATATATAACCTACTTAGACATAGAAAATGACACTACAGTTTAGAACAAAGAGGATCTTTTGACATTGTTGACAGGGGGGCGTTAGTGTGCTGTCATAATTTAGTTTGACTTATGCCTTTATTTCTTGAGGTAACAGTTATTGAGTACATTGTAGTTGAACCTATAGCCGGACTCCGGCACTCCGTCAGTCACCAGGTTGTCACTGTGGAAGTGCAGATATACCGGCCCTGGGGGAGCGGCTGGAAGGGAAAAGTAGTTTTTTAGTTCTTTATAAAACATAGTTTTAGTACATAAAATAATTATGGAGTCTGTATTGGATTTTATTATTCAGTCTTTGACAAATTTATCGACTCCTATCTGTATTATATTCTATAAAACAAATGACTGTCAGTATTTAATTTATAACGTGAAGTATTTAGGAATTAACACGTTCAATGCCACATTTTTTTATATATCAAAGTAAACTCGCAAAAAACCCAAAGGGCTTAAAGTGTCAATAGATGTTTTTTTTTAATCATAAGGTGGCAAACGAGCAATCGTACTTAACATCAAATGCTAGATTTTTGTATCATGTGTGTCATCGTCTTAGCTTAGGTACAATTAAACCTGTAACCTAAATCTCTAATACTCACAAGCAATAATCTGGTTCTGTGCACTAGTACCGCAGAATTTAGACCCCCTGAGCCCCTCGACGGTCTCCGCCTCTGGTATGAAGAGGTAGTCCTCAGACTGCGGCACTCCCTGGGTCACAGGGTTCACCTGGCAATCTGTATCCACTTGCATATTCTGCTCATCGCGGTACGCCAGTTCGAAGTTTGCAGCTGTCAGTCTGCAGGTCAAATGATGAAATGATTAACATTTAGAATCTGTATACAAAGTTTGTACCAACCCGCACTTGGCCAGCGTGGTTGATGGCCTAGTCACCCGTAACATAGGGCAGGCTCCGAGCCCCACGATGGGTCGTATAGTGAGCTGATGATGTATACTAAGTTTGTATTTACATCCAGCTTTCGGCTAATCTTTGAAAAGCGAGAAATATAGCAACATTTTTATTTTTTTCTGTTATCTCTGTGTTATAAAATTAGTCACACAATTGCCTTTTTGACTTGCCTGTCCCAAATATCCAAAGAAATACAACTCGTGATTTAAAAAAAAGATTATTCATTATTGTCCGGAACTACTCTCCTTTACTAAACTTACTTAACGCCGCAAACATCTGGTGTCCTCTTAAAACAGGTGGCATACGCTAGATTGGCGATGTATGGTCCGTCCCCGCGGTTGTAATTGAAAGATTCTATCACTCCGGACCTGTCCGGGAAGTACTGCAGACAGCCGGGGGGCGCTAGGATAGATAACGCGTTAAATTAATAATAAAGTGTACTCAACTATGTACCTTATTATGAACTAGAAATCCATAAAAATAATAATTTGGCAACTTTATTTATATTGGCAATAATATTAATTATAATTAATGTAATCACCTATGAGGTACTCATCCCTGTCAGCAGAGGAAGACAGCGGGGTGGAGGGCAACGAGGAGGTGATGGCTTCCAGGATACCGTCGCGGAACTTGCTGCAATATTAAAAAGATTAAATTGTAGTTTCAAACTATTTAATAAAAGTATCCTTAACTAGGTTATCTGTATTTTAGAAGCTAAACATTGAATTATATGATCGATAAGTATAGATTCTCAAACTTTTTTTGTACAACACTTTTAAAAACTTGAATTCAATGAACTTTATTTTTTATTTAAGTTGCGAATCTCCCATCGGCAACGAATGCTCTAGGGGTCATTGACTTAAAAGATCGGTTATTAGGTTCGGCTGTGAATCAATACTTACCCAAGGGTGTTGAAGCACTCGAGTTGTGTGACCTTGATCTTCCAGGTAGCCTGCGGTAGGTGAGGCTGCGTGTTGCGGTCCGCGATCTTAAAATTGAGGCGAATGGACCGACTGTTGGTTGAGGCGTTTACTCGCACGTATACTGCAGACAATAAATAAAAAATGAATAGGCTAATTTTCAATAAATTTACACAACAATAATTAATCCACACTGAACGAACTGAACGTTTATGTAACGATCAAATGACTCAGAATGCAGTTATCTTACTAATATTAAAATGCGTCAGTTTAGATGGATGGATGGATGTTTGAAGCTATCTCTAGAAAGACTGAACGGATCTCGATGAAATTTGGCACAGATGTAGAACATAGTCTGGAAGAACACATATGCTACTTGCTATTTTTTAGTTCTGCGCGGACGAAGTCGCGGGTAAAAGTTATTTCGTAATTACTTACAATGTTGTCCGCTATTGTCACCGCACAGAGAGGGCATGCTGTCAGAATTAGCCTGCAAGTTGGTGACTTGGAAGATGTCATTCCTGCAGGTGAAGCCTGGACGCTGCGTCACATTCTCTACTGCCTCCACCTGGAATTTAACTTTGTTACAGCGCCCTCTAGTAACCAAACTTTAAACCAAATCTTATGGTAAAACTTACAGTTGTTGGCGGTGCAAGGTTAAATGTTTCAAAGTCGATTCTCATCTGACAGACATTATTATTGTTGATCTCCACATTGTATGAACATTCTAAGCCGGAAGACTCTTTACTCAATGGAGGGTTGATGAAAATAGCAACTTTCGTGTTCGTTCTTACATCGCAGGCGTTTACTGTAAAAAGCGCCATCTTGTGAGATAAAATGTAATTATAACAAAATAACTTTTACACATTAGAGTAAGGTTTTAAAAAAACTTACGAGAACAGCACGTCGCAAATACTCCACAAAATCCAATAGCCTTTCCTCCTTGGGTATTACACTGATTTCTTGAAAGACAAACGCCACCCGTGCTCCTGTCAGATCCCAAGCATTGTTCACCGTTGCCTACTGTGAATATACTGCCCGGTGCCTGCCTGGCAGCTAGAATTCACAATAATCATAAAATGTAGTAAATTTCATTTTTTTGTACAATCACAAGAATTTTTTTGCAAGTAGTGAACTGACTCGCCAATAGATGGCACTTTTCTTATATACTATAAATAGATCAAAATTAAAAAGATTCCACTTACATCTATAAAGATTTGTAGCGAATGTACATTGCGCCGCGGCTAGTAATAGCAACACCTTATGCAGCGCCATCTCTTGAATTTTACCTGCAACCAAAAGTATAACGATAAGATATTCGCTATCATAAAATCGATTGATTTATAAGTATTTTGAATTTTTTAGATGGATGGATGTTTGTTAAAAAGTATCTTCATAACGGCTCAACAGATCTCGATGAAATTTGGCATATATATAGAACATAGTTTATATTATAAATTTAAGAATAAGCAAAGTTAACAACATCTCTAAAAATCTATTAACCAACGAGCACCAAGTGTCTAACCAATGGAATTTAAAGGTTATATTTTAAGGTTAAAACACATGCAACATTACTCCGATAATATAAAATAGCACCATTAATATATCAACTCTTTCGAGACGTTTCTTGTTCCGTTATAAAAAAAAACAACTGGTTACGATTAACCGTTAACGTTAACGACGTGTATGATTTTAGTAATAAGATAACCGTAGGCACAGTTAACTGTAATACAGAGATGTTGGCCGGTTACAAATCACCAATTACGTGTTAAGATGATTGGAATTTGGTAAGGCAATTGCTTTTCATCGTCCATATTCCAAATTCGAATATGTTTCAATTTAATCCTTTAACTTTATGTAACAGATTAATTTAGTATTAAACTGTGTAGTTTAATACTGAAAGTGTTTTCAGTATCAATTTCTTTAAAAAAAGAAACAAAATTTTCGTTTTAAGTATAAATGTAAATTATTATAAATGCTTATTTAAACATTGTACCGTAAATATACGGCATTGGTAATTTTCGGTACGTTTTTTTAGACATTATAAGTTGGAATTCTTTGGCACGAATGTCGCGCTTTCGTTACAGTCAAGTATCAGATTGATTAGTGAGGTGACATAAACGTTGACATTTTAGTAAGATTAGTGTTGCGCCAGTACACCGGCACAGTGTCGGATTTTCTTCCTAAAATTTTATACTAATATATTATAAAGTGGAAAGATTTGATTGTTTATTTGTTTGTACTAAACAGGCGCCGAAAGTATTGAACCGATATGAAAAATTCCTTCACTGTTTGGAAGCTACACTATCCCCGGATGACAGGGGTTACTAGTTTTTTTTAATTCTGTGCGCACTAAGTTGCAGGCAACTGTTATTAATAAATAGGGATTCGAACGTATGGCCCATTGAATGTCGATGTCAAAACATCTAACGGTAAACTACGATGCAAATAAACAGCAGTTAAACTTGATGTACCGTTAGCCGATAAACTGTAAGATGAAAGTTTCCGATGCATTCACCAACATATTACGTTCAAAAAACCCACTGCCAATTGAATTGTGCTTAAATTTGTACAATGTTTTAAAATTAATAATGAAAATTAAATTATACGACAAAATTGTAACACATTTAAAAAATATATTTAAAATTAAAAAAAAACATAACATCGTCATAAAACAAATGAATAAAATTTATTCAGATTTTATCTCAAGGCATTAAATGTTGTTTTAGAAAAAAAAAATAAGGATATATTAAAAAAAACACAATACTTTTAAAACAAATCAACAAATTAAATTAAAATATTTTAGTTAAACATTAAATCAAACAAAAAAAAATATTTATATTGACATGAAGCGTGTCACCGAATGGCAAACATAAAAGTGCATGCACCTTTTACTCGAAATAAAAAAAAAGAAAACTCGATCAAGTTTTGAGGCCAAAGATACCGTAGGCCCTTTTAGGAACAGTAATATTTCGGCATAATTATTATGTTAATATTTTAAATAAAAGCACATGTTTGATTCATCCGAGAAGTTTATATAAAAAAGGAAATCTTTTGGTTTTTTTTTGTATGTACGCACAAATTTGCCTTCGAATTTGTTTCAACCTAACCTTAAATTTCAAAACCTACAACCAATGTTTTGTTATCAAAAACTATTGTTTCATTAAATTTAAAACAGAAAGGTTTTTATTTACATTTTACGCTTATAATTTATTTATTTATTAACACAAGCCAACATATATATAAAATAGGAGGATAACAAAATTCACACAAACATTTTTACATACGTATGTCAGTGGCTTGCACAAATTACGTGAGACGCATTTTTAGTCATACAATTTTATATACATGATTTTTATAATTTGGATAGTTTATTTTATTTTTTATAATATTGATAAAAAAACTTTTTACTAATAAAACTGTGATTTAACTTTTAGATTTATTAACAAGCAAAACGGTTCGGTTAATCACTATTTATAAATATAGCTTTAAAATAAAAACAAACCTTCTTATAAAATTTTAAAAATCTCTGTTTTATTTTCTAATAAAATTATTATTCATTTTATAATTTAATTTAATGACTCGTAAAAAGATAAAAGTTTACATTAAAAAGATAAAACACTTCTTATAATTAAAAAGAAATAAGTTTATTAAAATAATTTAAATATATAAAAAGTACGTACGTGCGTCGTTGCTTGTCGCAGCGTTGGATGTGATTTGATTATGTAAGTTAAAAAGCTTTTTATAGCTTTGGGATATACAACTGGTCACCGGTCTCCGGTCTTTGGTCCGCGTGTTCGCCGAGTCGACAAACAAACTTATAAAATGGTCAATATTGTTATTTTTCCAGTTATTAGAATATTTTATAGAACCTTTTTTTAATTTTACTAATATTATAAATGCATATGTTTAAATGGATGGATGTTTATTTGCTATAAGGTATCTCCAGAACGGCTGTACGGATCTCGCTGAAATTTAACATAGATGTAGAACATAGTCTGGAAGAAGACATAGGCTACTAATTAAGTTTTTTGTTCGCGCGGACGGAGTCGCGGGTGACAGCTAGTTAATACTATTTACAGTTCAATTCTGTAGATTGATTGGAAGTATGATACTAAATATAATTTGGGAAAACATAAAAAAATATTATACTTTTTCGAATTCGATGTATAAATTTGATATTTGTAAGTATCACTCCGATATCGTTATTTTTGTCCCGCAGCTACTTTGTTTATTTTTTCGGACATATAAATAATGTTTCGGCTGTTTATAAGTTTAGAATAAGTTTTGTGATTGGTCCGCTCGATATATTTTCGTTTTATCTTTAAAATCTTATAAAACAGGTTTTTTGAACCTAATTTGCATAAATATGTGCATTTGAACTGGAAGTTGGAGTCAAATTTAGTGTCAAGGTCAAGAAGTTTAAATAAGGGATTTAGCCAAACTTTTTTGTATAAAAATATGGGCCCAGTCATAAAAAAACTTAGTGTT